TTGGTCCTCTAGGGCTGCTTTCCAGCATGTTTTGGTTATTTCCCCTGCTACGACACACCTGACTTTAATCAGCAGCTGATTAACAGGCTCCTAAAGGACTTGGTGAGAGCAGGTGAGTCAAGTGAGCTGAAGCAGGGAAACAACTTAAACATGCTGATTAGCTTCCCTTGAGGTCCGAATTTGCTCACCCCTGAGCTAGAAGACGAGTCACAAAATTCAAAAAGTTGAAAATATAGATCATAAAAAAAAAGAAGTCATGAACGAGTCACATTTGTTGAGATGTGTTGTATATCTTTCAGAATAAAATACTTTAAAACAGGGCTGGGTGATATTATTAAAATGTATCGTTATCTAAACTGCTGACTAACCGATATCATTTTGTCCGTGCCAATAAATTCAATGATAATTTAAAATAAAGAAAAGACGTGTGTAGGTTGGCGATGTTCATGTCACTTTAGGCTGTACCACCTCGAGTCGCTTGACCACGTGACTCCATGTAACACACCTGACAAACCCATCTACTGGACATTTGATTTTGCGCATAAATGTAGTTATCGTCTGTTTTTCATTATCGAGGTGAACTCCTCAATAAACAGTGATATTGGTTTTAGGCCATTTCATCCAGCTCTACTTTAAAACACTGTTCAGCTTCTGTAGACAGTTCTTAGGCCTGCTACTAGTTTAGTCTTTCACTTTTTACTTGTTTTGTAGAGACGTGCTTCCCACAATGAGGGTTTTAATGAATATTGCTTTGAAATATCCTCGCTTTTAGTGCAGAAATACTATTATTTAAATCCATCCATCCTTTTTCTTTTGCTTATTCTGGGTCAGATTATGGGGGCAGCATCCTAAGCAGAGAGGCCCTGGCTTCCCTCTTCCCGGTCACTTGGGCCAGCTCCTCCAGGGGAAACTCTAAAGCCTGATTTATACTTCTCCGTCAGCTCAGCTGCAAAATCACGCACAAGCATAGCAACATGAAAAATGAATAAATATATCAGGAAAGCAGGAAGAAATGTTATTCATGTTTATGTTATCTTTGTGGTGCATTGTCTGTAAAAAGAATCCTAACAACATAAAATTATTTAAGATGCATTGTATTTTTTTAAATAAGTTTTAAATGGTATTCTATGCTTTTTAAAATGATTTGTAATGCTGCAATTAATCTGGTGAGATTGTTCCAAAACACGTCGACACGTATAAACAGAATTAAAGAATGTTACCGCACGTGCTTCAAAATATTATACGATATAGATTTGAGGTCATACTGCCCATTCCTAGTTGGAACGTAGCTCAACCTCTAAACTGAGAGCTTCGCCTTTCAGCTCGGCTCTCTTTACCATGACAGCTCGGTACAATGCCTGCATCACTGCAGACGCAGCACCAATCCGCCTGTCGGTCTCCTTCTCCACGTTTACTGAGACGCTAAAACTTTTCCACATGGAGCAGGACATCACCCTGATTAGATAAATGATCTTTCAAAAATAAATCACAATCTCTCACTTCTCTCTGCTTTAAGCCCTAAAAGCCTATATGCAAACAGCATCCTCTTCAGAATGAAACTTCCATTTTCAAGAAGTAACTTAGTTTGTTCCCATTTCCTCTGAAATAAAGTACAACACAGGCAGCAGTCCAAAAACACAGAACAGAGACATGTCTACCTGAAAAGCTCTTAGTGGGATAAGTGGACAAAAATCCAATAAAAAAGATATTTTTTTTTATACATCACCTCTCAAGATAAAAATCACAAGGCATTTCAGAAGAAACAATAAAAATTACTTTAAAAGATCACAATAAAAAATGGGGCTCTAAATCTGAAAGTAAAAACAAAATTCTGAGTGATGATCATGTAGGAATTACAGAACAAAAGCTCCAGATCAGGGCACCCTAACCCTCCAGGGCCATCACCTGCATGTTTAAAAGGTTTATGTGCTTCAGCACACCAGATTTAGACAGTGGGTGACTAACACGTCTTCTGAATCTGGGAGTCATTTGTTTTATCTTTAAGTGAAACGCCAAATAAAAGTGACTTTTGATTATTTGCTTTTGAATCGGTGCAGTTGAGTGGATCTGTGCGCCCTGTCCGGTGCACATTCAGCACAAGGGATCCACATTCTGTCTACATTGGCATAAACCCAACCCATAAAATATCATGGAGCCTGTTTTTACATTTCAGATTTTTTATCCATGACTAAAACTGAAAACATAAAAAATGTTTGGTTTTAAATGGAAAATTGAATGAATGAAAAACAGATTCTTGTGCAGAGCTTGAGGACCTGCTAAACATGTAATTCGACCACTGAATCAGGTGTGTTGGAGCAGGAAAACAGCTAAAACATGCTGGACACGGATTGGACACCACCACTACATAAAAAACAAATTCAAATAGAGCTTAAAAATAATATTTGATAAATTTTTCATATCAACTTCTCAAAATACCTCCTAACATGCCTTAAGGTCCGGCTTCAATCTTATTTGTTCTGATCTGATGCATGCCTACACCAAAACACAACTACTGTCTTTCATTAAAATGTTTTACTCCCGTTTCAGATGACCAGCAGCTCAAAATCAACCAACGCATGTCAACTAGAACAGCAAAGACCTGCTTCTACTGGTGTGTGGGAGCAGAATAAGATAAAGCTCCTGTTTGGACCCGGCACCGACACCCGGCGGTTCTCCTTCAGATGGACCACCGTCTCCTGAAGGAGAACCACCAGGAGCACTCAGAACCAGATCAACCAGGATACTTGTTAGTGCCAGGTCTGAATGGAAAGTCATTTGACTCCTCTATCATCATCATCCTCCTCCTGAAACAACCCATACTCCTACCTAAGCTGGTTAGGGACTCTCTTATCTCTTTGTAACTCTCTCCACCCCATCCTCCTGCTTCACTTTCAGTGCTTTGGGGGAGCTGGGAGAGCTGCTGAGGGAAGGGGAAACGGGTGTTATTCACAAGAGACACAAAAAAACACACCAAAAGCTAAAAGTTCCTAAACTTAAATGCAAAAGACACATTTCCAAAATCAAAGTAAATTCAACGAAAAGAGAGGAGAACATTTTCCGTAAACTGAAAAATATCCTACATCACTTCCTATGTATGATTTTGTTTTGAAGCGCAAATGTCACAAAACTTAGTCTAACATTTGGTATAGTCATTCTGTAAATCCTTTACATGGCCACTACCGTTTCTAGTTTCCTCTAGATGAATGAATAACGAGTCAAACTCAGATTATCGCAGGAACCGAGGAATGCCATCAGAAAATCATGTTCTTCTCCACACAAACGTACAAATCAGGGTTAAAGGTTGGTTTATGCTTGACGCGTCCGCACGGCTCCGTGCGGAAAAGTTGCGTCATCTTAACAACCACGCCCCTCCAACGCACCTCCGCACGGCCCAAAATTTCTGCAACGCGCACCTAGGAAATTTTCTAACCACGCAGACGGTCAGACGTGGAAAAACATGGCGGACCGGCAAGAACTAGTATGGCAGAGGTTCGTAAATACAGACATTTGTATGATTCAGCTCTCAGAGATCACCGTGATCAACATGTTGTTAATAATTCTTGGAGAGAAATAGCTCGCACTGTCGGAAAAGACGAGGACGCTGTTAAAAAATGCTGGAATGCCATGTTGTAAACAGTAATTTCTACTTCTACTATGGTATAGTGTTGGGTGCATGCTGTAGAGCTCCATGCTGCCCCCTACAGTTTGGGAGAATATTGGCTCACCGCTGAGACGAGCCGCACGAACCATAAACGCTGCGAGTTGTGAAGCGCGTTCCATCCGCGAGCCGCATCACCAAGCGGAAAGTGAATGCGTCAAGCATAATCCAAGCTCAATCCACACATTCTCAAACTCACAATCAGTCCGTATATCCTTAGCACTAGGGGCCTTTTTTCTCAAACTCCAAGGTAATCATAAAGGTAATTCAGGTATAGTTTTTTACATGTTAATATTAAATAGTAGTTTGAGCAAGTGGTTGCATTTATATTCAGCATTAATCATGACTCACTGATAGAAACATAACCATAAAACTATCTTTGTACAAGCCTAGTTTTATTGGTACAGAAAAGATTTTTTTCCACTTGAACTTAATGAACAAAAGCCAGATGGACTGAATCTCTTTTCCAACCTTTGAAATAAGGAAAATAAAGAACTAAACTCTTGTTTGCACAAACAAGAAAACAAACTATTATTTGTTTTGATTATCTTATGGCTGCAACCAGTTCATCACATCACTATCATTGTTACAGAACTGATGGTTTATGATTATTTTAATTAAACAGTAATCGTGAGTATTCCCCATAATGAACTGTTTCAACACATGGTTATGGTTATATTTCACCACCAACACATTATTTCCAACCTTTGAAGTTGCCTTTGTGACATTTTATTATTGAACTTGTATTCACACCAGTGACAAGAGCAGCGTAAATATTTTAACCTATGAAATATCTGAGCAAAACATTGGGATTTCAATTAATACAACCAATAAGTGATTTGTATGCTTTCAGTGGATGTGCAGGTAAACCAACTGAGCCTCAAAACTGCTACATTTTGCAAACTTAATGAGTGTTTAACTATAATAAAGTAGTTAGTTATTAAATAAATTAATAAATATAGAAGTTACCAAGAAAAAAATCATTACCGAAAAAGACAAAGACTTTGCAAGTAAGCTGATATTTTATGTTTTGTGGATTATTAGACTAGTTATCTGGATTTTAACAGCAAAATTGACAATATTTTGAGCAACAACTTTCTGCCAGTCGCAATAAAAATTCATGCCCATAAAAAAGATTTTTTTTTGCAACTTTGTGTTCCAATATTATATTATACAATAATTCATTTGAATGACCGTGGATTTAATCTAAATGAAAAAACATTCATAGTGCGAATAACGGGTTTATAGGTATATGTTTGCCTAAAGAAGTAGACAACATTTTATTTGAATTACTTTATTATTAATAATCAATTTTCCTGCCTCGTCCTTTTAACATACTTACTTTTATAGCCTTGATCCCAGACTTGGTGATTTGAGTCATCTTGGCCTTGGAGATGGGCGGCTTGTACTCAGTCAACGAGCACAGCTGAAAGATGAAACAACAGAACATCAGTTCTACCTTTCTGCCATCAGTTCTTACATTTTCGTCAGGTACGTCTCTAAAGTAAAATTTCCAAAGCCTCCTGAGTTATTTAGCGCCTCTTGTTTGGCTTTATTAATGGTCAGAGGTCAAATAGCGTGGCCCTCTTTAGACTCAGGCTTAATTTTGGGGGTAATTGTTAGTAAAAATAAGTCAACATACCATTTTTCATTCCCGTTGTGTGTGAAATCAAAATCTATAAAGCAGGTTTCCGTGAGTGGGCAGTTTAGGTCTGCGTTTACACCGACTGTGCTACACCGGAGGACTTTTGTCAATAGAGCGCTACTTGTTACTAGAGCCATCAGATGGCTAACCGTAAACATCCGCCCGCTGGCACAAATAATATTCTAGTGCAATCGACTACCCCCCAAAACAAACAGCAACACGAAACAGCAAATGTAATAAAGTTGTTTTATTTTTATATCGGTTCGCACATCTCACAAGTTAACAAGTGGAGGGCCGTTTCGGTTAGCGTTAAGCTAACTAACGTTCGTCTAAAATAAACATGTAGGAATATTTAGTCCGAGAAGTGTATGTGTGTGTGTGTGAATGCGTGTTTTCTACATCTATTTTGCACGTCTCACTATGTATTACAAATAAATTACACTGTTAATAAGCGTTATGAGCGGCCTGTGAAGTACTGGCCTCCTTTTTACTCTTTGCTACTTGATGCTATTGCTAACGTTAGCCAACCAGCTACCAGCAAATGCCATTTGGCAAACCACATCCCCAGACTTTTGGACACTTTTTGCTAGTTTCAAACTAACCTCGTTGTTGAAGGCTTTGACGGCCTCCATGGCGTTGTGTTGCGGCTCTCAATGTGCTGTAAATATTTACAGATATCTTCTCTTTAACCGGTATAAGACGTGCATGCTCGACGATTGGTGAGATGGAGGAGACAACCAATATGGCGCTTAACCTCAATAGGGAATTCGCAGTGAAGTGCGGCTCCTAGCGGAAGCTTTGGGGAATTACGATTGTGTGCCGAGATAAATGGAAAATGTATCTTTCAGATGTCAGTTTATTTCTAAAAACAAATGAGTGGGTATCTAAATAGGAAAGTGACCAATTTGATCCTGGAACTAATTATCTTAAAATAAATGTATCTGTGGTTAGGAAAACTGCCCTATTGGATATCTGAAAAGTTGAAAACAGCCAATTAAAATGGAGACAATACATTTATTTTGTTATATACACAAAAGATACACCAGGATTCATATTAAAATTTGACACAAATACACAACATTTGTAAACAATTATTTATATATTTAACATGATTAAGTGACATAAAATGAATACAGGGAATGTGTTTATCAGTGTTTGTGGGGGCAGCCAAATCCTGTTTTGCAGGTTTTACAATGACCAGGAGGTCCTGGTTTGCCCTGAGAATCGTAAACTTGTAGCTGCAATCGTGTTAAAATTAACAACTAATCTCTTACTGAATTTTTGGCAACATGAGGTCAAATTTAAATGACCATCAAGCCCTTTCTCCTGTGAAGTTTAGATGTTTATGTTAATAGTTCTAAATCTAAAAACATTTTACAATAAATGAAAATTGTAGACGTCCTCCCACAAGTTACATGAATTATTTTTGCAAAACTGATTTTAAAATAAAACTTTTCCTCAGTTTTTATTGACATAAGAATAATTTGAATCCTAAAAGTCAGGTTTGTATTTTATTTTGTTTTTATGTTCAGTCTTGAATGCATTACTAAAAATAAAAGACAAAAAAGTCCTTGCTGTGGGGCTGCTGTGTAACAGACATTCACGGTGCATGGCACCAATAACTGGCAGACAAAATAATAAAAACAACAAAGAAAGTTTGCAACTAGATAAATTACACATTTAAAACCAGTCTTTCCAATCAGAAAACAGACGTATTATTACAACATGTTCCATTATTTCATGTACAAATAAAAAGAAATGTATGCATATGTTTGCTGAATTACAACAGAAAAACAGTCAGCTGTAAAACTAGCTAATCCTACAAACTGAACAGTAAAATAATACTAATCTGCTTCCATCTCTGTGTTAAACTAACATTTTGTAGTCCAATTTAAGTATAAAAGGCTTTAATAATCCATTTAACATGTAACCAAAGCATCAACCATATACAAATATTCACAGCAGTGTGTGTGTGTCTGTGTGCATGTGTGTATACACATAGTATGTAATTAAGAAGTCCAAAGCCAGTTTAAAAACTGGTTTCTGTCACAGCAATGTCTGGCGCTGCAGCGTTTACATCCTCTGGCGCCACCTTGTGGTTGTCTCTGACACTAATCTCATGAAACAGGAGCCCGTTGGCCTCCTTCCACTGCCTGAACTTGTCCGATTTGAGCTCTGGGTCCGACAGCACCTGGTCTATGGCATGCAGGTCCGCTTCTTTTGACTGAAACCGAAAAAAGGAGGATATTAAATACACAACAGATAAAAAGTAAGATGTATTTTTTTATAAACTGAGGATGTATACCTTTAAGGTGCTATTTAGAGCCCTAATGTGATGTAGCTTATCGTTGACAGTTTGGTTTTTACAGCGTTTGACAAATGAGGCTCTGAATTCCCTTTTAGTGGAGGGTTTACGATGTCCTATTGGTGAGAGGCTGGCCTCCTTTAGATGAATATACAGCTTCTCCATCTCATCTGAGGTGTTCCCATGGTTACCTGTATGAAAAGGTAAAGTTACACCTTTTCAAAGTACAAAAGTGTGTAAAATACCACCCCGCAAGACTGTAAAACAATTTGTTTGAAATAACAGTAAATAATTAAAGTACCTTTGTCTGGAGGCTGTGAAACATTTGTGTCCTCCTCCCCCTCTGCGGCAGGGGTTTCCTCGCTGGACCTGGTTGAGTCCGAGGAGTCCTGAGGAGCCACGCTCTCCAACGCCAACGCCACCTCTTGCATCGCCTCCTCTTGTGTGGGTTCTTGTGAGTGAATCTGTGCCGAACACACCACCTCTGTTTCCCCAGCCGGCGCCGAGGGAGGAGCCTGAGAAACCAAGTCCAACCATGACTGCCGCTGCTTGGTTAGCGAAGAGGCGGAGCTCTGTGAGGTCATCGTGCTGACAGGGGAGGAGAGCGAATCGGCTACGGCGGCGGAGTATGATGGAGGGAGCGTTCCCTGGAAGATGAGCAACTTACAATTAAAATAAATACACATTTAATAAAAAATAACTAAAATCCAACTTAAAGAGCAACCGTCTCACCCCCTACCAGATTCTTACTCAACTCCCACTTCCTGTTTGAAAAATGCAACAAATGCTGTTGCCTAGCAGAAGGAGAGGGCGGAGCCGCTAACAAATACACACACACAGACTCACAACGACATTGTGACATCATATGGTACCAGCTAACGTTCTAGGTTACCTCTTAGCCAATAGCGATGGCAGGTTTAAATTCAAATGCAGTGCAGAGTTTTTGCCTGTCAACGGCACAACACTGACAGTTTTAGGCAGAAAAATTAAAATTTTAACTAAAATGCACTAAAGTGCAAAACTATTGACTACACGTGTCTGCAGCACGATTAGACATGCATTTATATAGTTTATTAAAAAAAAAGGTTGATTTGGGGGTGACTTGATCTTTAAATGTGCGTTTCAGCTGACCTGATGTGTGCTACCAGGTGGATCAGGTGCTTCTACTGAGCCTCGTAGGGTCTGTTCAGAGTACGGAGGAGGGGGGATCTCTGTGCTCTCAGCCTCTTCGTGGTCGCTGGCTTCACTGTAACACTCTGAACACCCACGTTTGTGAAAGAAAGAGACCAAAAAAAGCAAAACAAATGACAAAATGACAAGAAATGACGGTTAGTTGGATGAAAATGGTAACATTTTAATATTATTTTACCTTAATTTTAAAAACAACTCTCAAAAAAGGATCACACGTACCCACTGCTGCATTCTGTTCTGTTTTCTCATACTGAATAGCTGCTAGTCCGAGTTTATTCAACCACCTAAAAAACAAAGAGAAACATTTCTTTCTCATCACATTTCTGACGCAAAGTTTTAAAGCCAATTCTAAAATATCCTTTCAAACACCGTTACACTTCAGTACAGCTTACATGTTCAAGCCGTCGTGACTCTCAGCAGCAAAATAAAACATCATGACGTGAGGATGGCAGGCTTTAAACGCACTGCAAGAAGAAAAAACATTATTTTACTGATCAGACTTTAACATAAAGAGAAAAACGAAAAATAGTTCATCTGTGTGTCAAAAACTTTAAAGGGGGGGGGGAAATTAAAATTCGTGTGCTGGTCGAGTGGGCGGGGCATACCAGTCCTTCCATTGTTGGGCTTTGTGATGGGGTTGTGTTTGAAAGAAAGAAAACGAGCTTTTATTTAGTGCCACTCAAGATAAAAATCATGAGATGCTTCACAAGAATAAAAAAAAATAGATAAAAAAAAAGAGAAAATTTTTTGATTAAAAATGTAAGGATAGGGTGAGAGAGAATGTATAAGAAAGAGGGAAGTCAGTGGATCCCAGGAAAGATGGAATTGGTAAAATATAGCAGAATAAGGAGAGGGAGGTGATGAAGGTCACGCAAAAGCCTGAGCAGGTGAGTTTTCAGCTGCTTTTTAAAGGAGACCACTGAGTCCACTGATCTCAGGCTCAGGGGGAGAGAGTTCCAGAGTCTGGGGGCCACAGCAGCAAAAGAACTGTCAACGTTGGCCTTTAGCCTGGACACCTCACAGTTTGATGATTTATCAGGGCTCCTGGGTCATTTTGCGCCCCAACAAAGATTAATTTGCTATATAGAGGCCCAAAGAACAGTTTCCTATTGTAACAAAAGTTGTTCTAGGACCCCTTTAACTACTGGAACACTAATCAGGACACAAACTAGTCAGTTAAAATTCAGGAAATGGTTGCAGAAGTAAATCTTAGAAAAACTGCTGCAAAAATTGGAACCAAAAAAAAAGATAAAAAAGTTAAGTTCACATTAAACACAAACAGTGTCACGTTTTTTATCCCTCTGAGGAAATGGTCAGCTTACTGTTTCTTTTTGCACTCGATGGCTACGTCCACCACAAAGTTGGTGAGGTCGATGTAGCCCTCGGCTTTCTCTGCCTGAAACACACAGATTGGACGGCTGTGAGCGCAGAGACACTAAGGGGACAATTTAAAACCACTTCCTGGATACTCCTGTGCCAGTAAATCAGACATGTCGGCCGTCTGCGTGATGGCCTTCTGGTGATGCCGACACATGCAGGAAGCACAGTGACGGTTCCTGTAGCCAACAGCAGAAGTGGAAGAAACACTAGAGTGACTCATATGCAGCTCACGCTGCTGAACATCAGAGGTGGAGGGGTGTTTAATGAGTTCTCGAGAGACCGAGTTAAGATTCAGTGGGCTGCTGTTACGAGGTAGTGAAACCTGCACTGCGGGGTACAAACTAAATGCACAGAAAGAACCCGATGAAACAAAATATTTCGTTTTTTTAGAAAAACAAAATGATTTTGTGGTTTTGAAAAGGAAATGCAGGCAAGCTAAAAGATCTAGACATATATAATGATGAATTTGTGGTCAAGATATCACACAGTTGCTCCAAAATGACGTGTTTAATCAATCTGAAACGTGTTTTTTAGGTGTTCTTTACCCCTCTATAGATAAAAGAGAGAGATGAACATGGCTATGTAAAAAAATCTAAATCCACATCTGAAAATGTCATTAATGATAATTACTGTAACATTAATGTCTGGTTGATTAGAACTGGTTTCCATCGTGTCCCTGATCTTGCTGCTGGTTTACATTTAGAGAACTAGTTTTAAAGACAGAAGCAGAAAAAGTTGAACAAATAAAGCTGACATTTAGTCAAACCCGGAGAAAAACGACGCTCTAATCATAATTTAGAGATTACCTGCCTGTTTAGAGGGACAATAACCTTTTTGTTAAATATTATGTGTGTATTTCAGCACCAATTTTGGTAAGAAAACACAAGAATACATTTACAATCAACACCAAAAAGGGTTACTCACCATTTGACTTGTGTACCAGTACAGGGCCGTTTTTTTCAGAACAAACCAGTACTTCTTCCATTTGTTACCCAGGAAAACTTTGCTCTCTTTCTTCCTGTAGAGCCAGCCCTGGTGGTCTGGGTTACCCAGCTCTTTGACTGAGATGCGTCTCCTGCTCATTGTACCATTGCCTACGCAGTAAAGAATAAAACAAATTTAAAAAGTGCACAAATTAAATCCAAAAAGAACCGGTCCAGTCAGTTTGTGGAGAATCAAAGCCGCCACCGTGAGCAAACGCAGGACCGAACGTGGCAACGGCCAAAAAAGAAATCTGAAAACAACCTCAACACTTCCATTTGGGGTCACGTAGGCCACAGATCTAGTTTAATAACAAGGTTAGATCTAAAAATAACACCTGAAACAGCCCACACAAAGTCTAGAAACAGTCTCCATGATCACTACCTGGTCTGTGTGTGAAAAAGGCAGCCGCAACACAGAAAAGCTGAAGTTTAGACTCTCAGAAGAGAAGAGCCAGAATGAATAAAGAAGAGAAGTGAAAGTCACTGAGGGTTTTCTAAAATCCCTTCTTGGCAGAACAATCAACATGCCAGTTCACGTACGCCTACTGGTGGTCCAGAGCGCCATCAGCAATAAAGAAGAACAGCTCACCTCCTCGGCTCTTCTTTGATTTGTGTCGCAGCGAGACCTTCGGAGGAGGAGGATGAAAGAAAAATGTCAAACTCGAACGCTACATAGAAAAGGTCGTCTGGAACATCCTGTTTCTCACATGCATGATCTTTTTCTGCTCTTCTTTATTTTCTAACATTCGTTTCTCTCTGTATTTGTGTCTCAACTCCTCCCTGTGCACGTGAACTCAAAATATGTTTAAGTTAAAAAAAGAAAACAGAGGATGACTACGATCCACACGGTAACATTTACTGGTAGACACAGTTCAGAAAAACGTTAAACCTAGTCGGCATAAATTAGAAAAAAAGCAGAAGTATTTCTAGATTAAATGTCATAAAACACAGAAACACTTACAGGGTTGTAATCTTCGGCAGCCATTGAAGGCGTCACAGAAAGAGGGAAGGCAGCCTGTAGAAAGGAACCAGAAGGGAAGGTTGACAACATCTCTTAGTCACAGACATCAAGACAAAGATGCTTTTCTTTTATTCTGGAGAGAGGAAGAGGCACAGCTAAATAAATAAAAAATAAAATACCAGTCGATGCCTTCCAGTCCGTACCTGCATTAGAGTGGAGACAGACACCAAAAAGCTACAAAATGACTAAGAAAATGGGTGAATTTCACCATCTCTGAACAGGAAGTTGGAAAAAAGAAACTAAAGTTTTTGCTCACTAACACCTCTGACTCACAAATCTTGTGTCATAAAGTTTCTCCGTCAACTATTTCACTCCCGCTCCGATTAATAAATCAAATAACTGGATGAATATTTGATGAAAATCAGAAAGACGTCTTTTTAATGTTTACATTCCAGTTTGCTGTTAACGTCCTAAAAGCACACAGCGGCATTGAGAAACCCAAAGCTGGCTTTATTGACTAACTTCCTCTGCGTTCTTGAGTTCCTTGTTTTGAAAGCTAAAGAGAAAGAGCATCACTCACACATAACCCCAGAATGTTCAGCCTTCTCGGAAGCTTCTTGTCATTTCACAGGAATTAAAAATCTCAGTCACCTGTTGCACTTCTCAAAAAGACCTAAATACTTCCTGGTGGTCTGTTTTTGTAGCCACTGTGCGTGCTGCAATAAACCAAATTTAGCACTATAATTAATAGCTGGTTGGTTCTGAGTTCTGCTGAAGAAACTAAGAGTACATATGTCCTGCATACCAGAATTTTTATAGTGTAAAAGGCTATTTTCATTACCAACCTGTCTAAGAGCGACAGACAGCCATTGCAACAGGTTCTCATCTCAACTTTTGTCCTATATGAGAGCGTGATTGTTGCTTTCCGGGTGCTTGCATGTGATAACTCAACTGTGATGGCCACATTAACCACAGTACATGCCTGACAGAATTTGTGCATTCATGTTTGATAACCAACTTCCTGATTCAGATTCCCCATGCTTTCTCTCTTTTTTACAGACAATAAAAGTTCAATGCAAACCAACAATAGACATAAGATTTCCAAAAGATTATCAGAAGATGTAATTGTTTTACTGAATGGTCATTAGGTTTGAAAATTAATTAAATCTCCTTAAAAATAAACAATCCATTTTGTTGCATGACTTATCTCTTATCTGCAGATTAAGATTAACTAAGGAAGGAAGTTAGATTTTGTGGCAATTTTTTTTATCTATTGTTGATAAGTGAACCAAATTTCAGTGTTTATTGTTTCTCATTAAAGGTAAAGCATAGAAAAGGTTCATTGGGCTGATATTATTTCCAATCCATGAACTCAGCATAGCCTAAAGTCAATTTAGGCTGGTAGTCACTGATTTCCCACATTAACTTTATTTCTGGAGTAAAAATGATTTTGATTAATTTAATCTATCTGAGGTAAAACTAAAAGTAGCCACAATATGACAATATTAACGAAAATAAAAACCTCAGGAACAAAAGTATATTAAAAGATTTAAAAATGATCAAATCCGTATATTGTGTTCAGATTTTGAAGCTAAAGACGTTTTTCTAACAACTTTATACCAAATGTTTCCGCTAAACTTTAGCTCATGTTTCTAATCGCAAACAAAAGCGTGTAAAGATCACCAGTTTTAACATAATTTCAATAAACAAACTTGGGTAGTCTACCTGCCACCACAGTGCCAGTGAACGCAGTTTGCTCCGAAGCCTCTGCTCAAAGTTTGACCAAACTTTGGCGAACATTTTCAGGACACAAAAAAAGAAAAGCTCGGCTGGTTTCAGGTGAATTCAAAGCCTCTTTGGGTGTAATCTTCACCATTTAAAGGGTACCACCCTGCGATGTTGTCTCCTTTTTAATGCTTAACGCAGCTACGACTTGAAGGGTATTTTTCAGCAAAGATTTCCACGAATTTTGAGTCAGGTTGATGTTTGTCCCCCAGACTTCATCTTGCAGTTCCAGCATGTTACCACCAGGTGTCAGCAAGTCACAACAAAATAGCATCTGAGATCCTACAACTAGATTTTCGTGTTCCTCAACTTCAATTTTGACCCTGGAAAGATGCCTTTTGATGCTAGAATAATGCTGTTTTAATGCAAACGTGTTTTAGTCAAGCTTAAGCTAAAATAAAATCAATGAATGCATGAAAATAGTTTTTCTCTCCAGATTGAAGGTGCGTTTTCTCATGTGCAGTCATCTAATCCACCATGCAAGAAAACAACAAAAGAATATTGCATGGGATTTGGACACATTTACTTGTGCACAGATGCACAATCTTTAGAAATTGCCACTCATAATGGTAAATTAAAAAAATCACTTAAAAAAAAGAAACCTGCTCTTGTAAAATATTTGTTTGGTCTATATTTTTTTATTTTGTTGGACTACAGATAAAACGTGTTTATCCATTTTTTTTTAAATATTTAATTTTTCTATTAATTTAAACAGGTAAAATGAGTTTGGGTTTCAAGTCAGAAACTTTATTTTTATGCATTTAAAACAAATCAAAACCCAAACTTGTATTAAAACACACAATCTCATAAAAACCAACCAAAAATATTTTTATTTCTTTTATGTACTTATTTACAAAAAAAGGTTTTTAACATTAAGTTATTCATATTAAATTGTTTGAAAAGGTTCATGAGGTCATAATAACTGATTTGGAATTTTGTTTAAAATTTAACTAAAGATGACAAAATGTAACCAATGAAAAAGGAAAAATATACATTTTCATTTTACATCTGTTTTCTGTGGGAACAAGCTTGCTGCCTCTCAACACTCCTCTCTGTCTGCAGCCACAACATCACTTCTCCAGCTTCATTCCTAATTCCTGCATGAAGATGAACTCCATTTAAATTCTTCTAAACCAGAGGGCCTCCTCCCTTTTTCCACTTGTTATTGTAACAAGTGGTCCACAGTGACTGAGAGAGCCCCCTCCCCTCTCTGCCACCAGGTTTTTCCCATCCATATCAAGTAACTTCCTTGTGTCACCTGAACAAAACGAGGCCATGGGCATTTACATTTGGGGTGACGTGTTGCATAAAGTCTAATTTGGGCTGATTTAGGTGATTTTGTCTCCAGGACTCACAGGAGTGCAGATTTGTCACACCACTGCAGAGCTCCATCTCCCACCAATGATGCATGCTGAGAACTATCATGGCACTTAGCTAACACCCAACCACCCAGAGACTGGGTAGATGAAGGAGGGGGGTGCAAACAGAGTAGCTTTTATTTAAAAAGAGGCAGGAATCATATCTGACTCAAGCTTAGAGGAAGTTTGACCTGCACTTGATGGCCCTGAATGATACTGTCCAAATAACATAGTTTAATTTATGATTTATTGTTGACAGAACTGACCAAAACAATTGGACCATAGATCTGTAAAAACCCGTCTAACCCCTGAGGAGGTGCACTGGTGCCACAGAGGGACAAATATGGAGCTAGTGGACAGTTTTCACACACACACAAACAGCCTTCCTGCTCATTTCCTTTCTACATCTGCCAAAACTAAAGGATGCATGATTAATTTTCCACCTGACAGACATTTAGCTTGCAGCAGATGACATGCGTGATCTGCTGAATTTAGCTTCTGTGCAATCAAGTTGACACCTGCTTATTAGTGCTAACCGTGAAGCACAAGAGAAGCTTTTGAAAAAATTCAACTTTAATGAATTATCTGGGATATTTTGTGTCAAAGTTGGGGTTGCGGCCCCACTATGGGTCTAGAAACACTACGTTTATGGTCCTAAAAAGGAATTCCTGAAATGAAATAAAACTGGAAACAAGAAACTCCAAACTGAATATGTTCTTTTAATTGACGCATAAGCCTAATAAAGCCAGTAGCATTTTTATTTAGCTCTTCATTTGTTTTGATACTTCACCCACATGTGTGTGTGTGTGTGGGGGGGGGGGGCTTGTAATTTTGGGAGTCGGAAGCAAAATATGAGAAAAAAGCTACAACAAATAAAACTTCAAAAAGATAATAACACAACTTTTCAAGTCATTTGTTGCACCTTTGGTTAATTTGTCAATAATTTTCAATCAGAGGGGTGAATAATCAAATACTTACTGCTTGAGAGAAAGACCAAGATCTGAAATGTGGTTGATTGTATCTGTGGGAACAAAAGATGGACTCAGTTCATGGTCTGAAACACACCGACACACACACCTCCATCAGTTTTTCCTCCCCACCTGTCTGCATGCTCCTCAAATTGCTAAATAAGATCATTATTTTTCTTTTTCCATCTTGTCTTGCAGAAACTTTAGGTGCTCCTTTCCCTAACTTGACCTGCTCAAATGCATGTGACAGCTGATTCATTCCACCGTCACTTAAACGCCACGGTTGAGTCAACTATCGGAGTCTCCGTAGCACATCCCAAATGTGAGTGATTCGTTTTGATTGAGCATGAAGCAGAAGCAGATGCCATGCCATTGGGAGCAGCTCTGAGAATAGAAGCGGCCAAGGATGGACGGGTGGATGGTGGGATTTGTCATTCATAAGTGTGGTAATGTGGGGAGGAACACTTCCTCAGACTCTGCATCCGGACCAGAAAAGGTCCATGGATGAGATGGAAAATGCTGAGTCATTTTACAAAAAGATACGTGTTATATTCTTTAAAACTCAGAATGATCAGGATTTGTCATGTTGGTGATAAGGGGCAGCAGTAGCTCAACAGGTTAGGCGGGTTGTCCAGTTATCTGAAGGTTGCAGGTTCGATCCCGGCTCTGTTCTCGGCAGCCTCGCCTCTGTCAGTGAGCCCCAGGGCAGCTGTGGCTACATCGTAGCTCATCACCATCAGTGTGTGAGAATGTGTGTGTGAATGGACGAATGATACACTGTAGTGTAAAGCGCTTTGGAGTCCTTACTCTGAGTGGCGCTATACTAATGCGGGTCACTTATCATAAATCAGAGGATTCTCTGGAAAGTAAAGGTTTGAGAGCATTAGTGTAGATGAGCTAGAGACAAATGAGCTCCAGGTTGAATCAGAACTAAATAGAAAAGCAAAATCTTTGTGTTCTTCTTTAAAATAGGCAACAAATAATCTGCAAGTGATTTAAAAACTGTCACGTGCGTTTAATAGATTTTCCAGGATCATAAAAACCTTTGGCTCACTTTCAAAAGATTCCACAGCCAGCTGACTCCTTTTTGGAAAACTAGGCCCACCCTGTTCTTATGATTATCATGTGACCCCGCTCATTTGTGGGGGACAAACTCACCGGTTCAGGAAGTCACTGCTAGAGAATCGGTCATGTCCCTGTGAAAGATCGAGAAGTTACATTATCCAGCCTGAAGAAAAAAAACACGTGGTCATGCTTTTTTCTTTGGTTTGTAGATAAATTTGACTTTGAATCCACATTTTATGTGGCGAAAGACAAGTTATGGGCTGCATGGTGACACAGTGGTTAGCACTGTTGCCTCGCAGCACGAAGGTTGCAGGTTTGAAACTCGGCTCGGCTGCGGCCTTTCTGCATGGAGTTGTGTGTTCTCCCCATGCATGCGTGGGTTTCCTCCGGGAACTCTGGTTTCCCCCACAGATCACAACATGCCCCATAGGTTATAAATTGCAGTCGCTTTGGATAAAAGCGTCTGCTAAATGAATAAACATAAACTCTTTTTTAAATTTAGAATATTAAGAGTATTTTTATTATATATATATATATATATATATATATATACATATATATTAAAATATGTATATATATGTATATATGTGTGTGTGTATTATTTCTGTTATGTTTTCTGGTATTTTACTCTTTAATTTTTCAAACATTCATTTTTTTTACTCCCCTATTTTGTGTGAACGAATTGCCACTATGGCACCAAAATTTCCCCACTGAGGAACAATAACAGGATTTTCTACTCTAAACATTTGATGCCTTGTTTTGAATGACCCGTATATGTAAAAGTTAATGTTCCTCCTGAAAACGCACCCTTTTTATCCCAATCATAAAATCATAAAATGATATAGAAAAATAATTTTCAGTCTTTAAGAATGCATCTAAAACTAAAAGCTCAACTCTTTAACCCCCAACAGTGAAAGTAAACTTATTTGATCAAAAATAGCTACATTTTAAAAGGATGAAAATGAAAATAAATCCATTTATAAGACTTCACGTCTCCTGATGAAGCTTGACTCATCTCTCACTACACAGTATTATCGAGTTGTTGATGATTGAAAAAGTAGCTTGAGATATTTTTACAGCCAACCATTTACTTTTAATTCAACGTTAGCATTGTTAGCTCAACATTAGCCTCTAGCCAGCTTCCCCTGATGTTAGAAGGAGGCAAAATATGCTGCGGCTTCTTAGGGGAACAGGAAATAACTTCTGGGTTGCTCCTGTTTACTGGCTTCAGGGATCTTCAAAAATTCTGGAGCTTTTTGCCTGCTGGTGATGAATTAAAAATGTTGGTGCAACAGCATTACCTCAGTGTAGACTCGACAACCTCACAGGCTCAGACTGTAAACAGTGACTATGTCCATTTCTTCCCCCCCCCCCCCGCCGAGAAGGAAATCTGACACCTTCCTTCCAACATGACTGAAAAATTAGACTGTTTTGTGATTATTTCACTTTAAAATTATTACACATTGTAATTCAAACATGAATCTGATTAATAATTTGTTTACACATGCGCAACCAAGCAAGAACTGAGCACTTCATTCCTATGCAACCATTTGTGATGTGCAGCCATTAAATGTTAGTGGTTAGCAAACTTGTGCAGTAGTTTGAGCCGAGTGCAGGTATTATTTAGGCAGACCGCAGGCTTTCAGAAAGTGCAAATTAGCAGGAACAGCGGGCGACTACAGCTCAGCAAGCACGGGCAGAGGAAGACAGAAAGAAGAGGTGAAGGAGATAAAAGAGGCCTAAATGCATGCACCGAGAGAACAGCAGGCAAAGGAGGATGGGGGAGGTGAGCTGTGGGTCGTTCCAATGATGGTCAGAATAGAAAGGTGCTGATCCTCTGCAGAGAAACATTTGTCAAACAAATGGGAGGCAAGGTAACTAACCTGCTGTTTGAACGTTTAAAAGACAACATATGTGCAGGAAAAAGATCCCCTCATAGAAAAGCTGCTTCCACCATATGGTCACCCAGCTGGATTTTACATTTCATTAAAGTAAGAAGTAGCTGCATAAACACCCGAGACGGGAAGAGCGGGGGTGACTTGACATAAGCTATCATGTTTCAGAGCATGCTTATAAAACAGAAGTAGAGTTTAGCACAGAGCCTGTTCCTGCACTGAGTGGAAAACCCGCCTTTCCCTTACAAACCGATGCATGAAGCTCAGCAATCGAGCTAGCAGATGTATTACAAAAACACATTCAACACGCACTGACAAAATAAAGACAATACAAAAGTTCACTGAAATGAACTACGATTTTTTAATAAAAAAACTTTGCAATTTTGTACAAAAAGCAGATAAAGCAACAGACACGTTGTGTGTTTTTTTTTTTAAATAATACTGTCGTTGTGTCTCTTGTGGTCATGAGCCATCAGGAGGCATTTTGACCAGTTTATCCTAAAAGATCGAGCTTTATTAATCTCAGTACAAGGCCCTTTAGGTGGGACGTGGCAGAGCAAACTGAAACACAGGATATTACAGAGTGCATAGCTTTAAATCATGCACAGAAGTAAACATCATTTGACCATCGAATTCAGCACGGTCGACTAAAGTGACTGTAGAGGTTGTATGCATAGCTTACAAGAGGCAACCAGTGGCAAACTGTAAGTAACTGATAACAAATCAACTCAAGAAAATAAACGCAACATTAAATCAAAACTTTTTACTGAAAATTGAGAAGCACATAACTGAGGAACTTCAATGTTTGAAGCTTTCTGTACCAGAACTATTAAAATAAGACATAATTTATTATGTACAAAGGCTACGTCTCCTAAACCTGAACAAAATCTCTTGAGGTGTTCAGTCAGAGATGAGGATTGTGGGTAATTGTTAAACAGGTGATGACTTGATGTAGTGAGTTCTACAAAAGCAGGAGTTGTAGTAGCTAGTAGCAGTTAGCAGTAACACCAGGGAAACATGGAGATTTGGGAGGGGGTGGGTTGGGTGAGAAAGCCCAGAGCTGTTCAAAAAAAAAACCCAGCTGGACGTTAAAGGCACCGAGAAGGAACACAGGACAGGAACAGGAAGCCCCGCATAGGAAGCACATCATCAGTGAGTCAATAGCTTAAGCCGCGTGATCCAACTGACCAGTAGGGAGCGTTCCGCCGACGTGCGCTTTGAGATGGGGGTGCTTACGGGGGTCTTTTTCATGTCCTCCTGGTAGGGAATGGTGGCACTGTTGTGGAGGTCTGAGTTGGAATAGTAGCGGCTGCCTCGGCTGTTGTCCACCCGGATGAGATGCCGCTCGGCTGCAGGCCGGTAGGGCGGGGACACCGTCGGGACCTCCTCAGCGATGGTGGGGATGCGCTCGTTACTCAGGTATCGGTACAGCAGGTCCTCACCTAAAGCAGAGACAAGAAAACACACAAAAGTTTTAACTTTTATAAGATTAAAAAGCTTTAACAGGTTAAAAAAAAAATAAAGTATGCATACCTTTCCTACCCTGTGCCCAGGGCTTGGCATACACATCAACAACTCCCACACACGTATCCGCCGGCATCGACAGTGGCCGTTGCTTTCCTTGAAATAAAACTTATATTTGAATAAAAACGTTTCTTTTAGAAAGGGTCAGAGGAATACTGATGAAGAGGTACTGACCACGGGAAGGCTTACGCTCCCTCATTCTGGGTTGAATCACGTTGGCTTCAATGGGACAGCCAGAACTTAATTTGTCACAATCTGCAATGGTGGTGCGTTTTCTGCTCTCCAGGTCCAGGAAGGAGTTGGGTGACTCAGAGCCTTTTGGTCTTTTGCTAATGCTGGAAAATGAGTCTGTTCTCATCTCTCTGCATGTGGGGAAAAATGTTTATTAAATAATCAGAGACGGAAACAAGGAAAACGTCAACAGTTTACAAATAAATTTAAAGGTGCATGAAGTAAGAATGACATCCTGTGGTCAAATTTGGGTACTGCAGTCCATGTCTCAAAATAAACGAGTGACTTTGTCACTGCCGGCCAATGTCGAATTACAAATGTCAGCCCAGCGTTTGTGTAGAAGACTTGGCAACCCTGCTGACTCAATTATGATTGGCTCTGGAACAAGGGCAAATGGCATCTGGACCCAAAAAAAGACTACGTTCCTCTTCTACCTTTTAAAAAAGAGAAAAACTGACAACCCCCCAACTGGCTTAGAAGGAAATCATGTTCAGTGTAACATTCCTTCCAACAACTTACTCATTGTCCCTTTAAGCGAAAGTGTTTATGTAATGATGTCTGCTCACCGGGGAGTGTACGGCATCTGAGGAGGAGGAGGAATGTACAAGTCTTGGATACCCGGCTTCTCCTTTTTGGTTGAACCATTAGCTGAGCCGCTGGGGGACTGAGCTCTGATCAGAGAGGAATTATTCTGAAAAAAGGAAAAGTCTAGTTATTAATTAATACATTCCTCAAAACCACAGGGTATGACTTTCAATAGCCTTTATCTCATCAGTCATTGTTTCTGGCTGCAGTTTCTTCCACGACTAAATATGACTTTCTGGGAGGAGTTCACCATAAGTGGTGAGACATTTAGTGCTTGTGTGCGTCTGAGTATAAATTTTCTAGTTTGAGGTACGGGAAAGATTGTAATTGAAGTCTAAAATAGACTGTGAGACTCTTTCGCCACAGTTATGTCATGTCATCTGAATGTTTGACTTTTATCTGCTCAAGTTCTCGGGGTTAAAATAGCTGGATGGCAAAATTAGGACCAACTAAACATCTATTACTGGATCTCATGAATCTGAGATGCCTTCAGGAGTGCAAACCTTACAGTTCTTGAATCAGGCTTTATTTTGGCTTTGAAGCCCTATTATAACAGGTAAACTGAGATGTCTAACTCTGATGTCAGGAGTACTTGTTGGGACGGATGCTGGTGAACATTAACTATTGTTTTCAGAGCCTCTCTGCTGTTTCGACATATCAACTCTGGTATCGTCTCATCTTTCCCTCTCGAGTTAGAAAACAGGCAACGGACGGTGGCAAAGTTCCACAGCCTGAAATCTGGAAGTCTAAGATTACAGCGGGCTAATTGACTCAATGTCTGTGAAGAAAAATGACTCGGGCGTAAAAGCTATGGATAAAATGCAAACTTAGGATGGTGCAAAAGGCAATAAATCACTCATTTAAAGCAAATAATATGCACCAGCTTGTTATTTTTGCCTTTTTGTCACATTTAAAGGTTTCAGATAAGCAAACAAATGTCCTTATCAGATGACCATAACAGGAGTAAATACAAAATACACTTCCTTATTTAAAGGGACTTTACGGACTTTTGAATTTTTATGCTCGTGATTGCCCCCTCAGGCCAAAAGCGTAATGGCAGCTTCAATAGTAGGCTCGTGCACGAGGCGCGCATGCTGTACGTGCACACTCCTTAACGAAAATAACAGCTGAGACAGTCCCGTGTGTGTGTGTGTGTGTGGGGGGGGGGGGGGGGGGGGGGGGGGCGGAGGACAGAGGACAGGAGAACGCGCAGCTAATTAATTAAATAATGTGGTTCTGTGCCTTTCTCTTCAGCACAGCCGACAAAGGTTTAAGATGGGTCAGTCCTCCTGCATCCTCAGATCATTCCCTTCCCTTGCTTGAAAAATTGATCCAAAATGAAAGTTGAACCCACATCTTTTTTATCTGTGAATTCAATGCCGTTCAGCGAGTCTCAAATAAAAATTTGGGCATCTTACTGTAAAAAATATACCATTAATGTAAAAAAAGAAACTCTAAATAAACTATGTTCACATCCAGAATCAAATCCAGGTCTTCTGCACGAGAGTTAGACATCTTACTAGGTGAGCTACACTCTAGTAACATTTGCAGTATCTGTAACTTTTATATCCTTGATGACAGCTGAAATAACGTCAAACCAAAGAACGGTTCGGAGTGAATATGGCTATTTTGTTGCTAATTTGCAGGAAATATCTAGAAGAAAGTTCTACAGAAAGTAGCTAAGGGTCCTCAGAAATGTAGCTAGCTTTGTCACTAGGCGTTAGGAACAGCGACAAAGTGGCACTGCCTCTCTCTCTGCTGCTAAAGCTACGGATAGCAAATGCTACGGGCTATGCCTGAGCGTGAACGCGCATGAAGCAGCCTGCTCGACCCGAGCATCTCTCTTTTTCTGTGATTTTACAGAAAAACAGGCAATCACAGTAAAAATGCCAGGGCTCATTCTACAGGACCAGGGCATTGCAGGAGAATGTATGAAGAAGACATTTATTATTTTTATACATGTTTTGGCTGTCAAACTTCCATAATGCCCCTTTAATAAGAAAGAAAACCCAACCACACTAACCTGTACAATCACAAAAATCACTTCAATAGAAGCGAACAACACAACGTAGGCTAAACGAGCTCAAAAAGCAGCACATCATGCCTTATTCTTAAGGGATTCAAGAACCAGGACTACATCTAAAGCTCCGCAGGCCTAACTTGGTTAAGGTCAGAGGTCGCATTTCTACAATAAGAAAAAGACAGAAGGGCAAAAATGTATCAAGGCCAAAATGATGCATTAAAACCCCGTCACACGGTTCCCAAAAATGTCTTGGTGATTCCCAAGAATCTGTGGACCGAATGGGGTAAAGGTGGAACTTTCTGGAAGGCGCGCGTCCCGTTCCATCTGGCATAAGACAATCCATCAATCCTCATCATCAACCCAACAGTCAAACACGGTGGTGATGATCTGGGGCTGCTACAGGACCTGGACAACTTGCTGTAATGGATGGAAACGGGAATTCTGCTCTCTAGCAGAATATTCCTGAAGGAGAATATCTGACCTTTGACCTTAAACAGGCTGTTCATGACGGAAAATCCTCCAATATGGCTGAATTTAAATACTTCTGCAAAGACGGGCGGGAAAAAGTAAAGTCTCATTACCAATAATCACAGGTGCACCTTTTCACAAGTTTCAGATGTGATTTTTCACTTTTGTTTGAAATTGACCCTTTCTTTTGCCAAATATTTGTGTAAAAAAAATAAAAAAGAAAAGCAAAAACAGAATCTGTCACTTTACCTTATATTGTTCTTTCACCACTGAATGTTTAGTTTAAAAAGGAAACGCCAACCCCTAACCCTACTCCAGTTCCACTACTTTACACTCCAGTGACTTTTTAAACATCAACATCTGGGTCATTTGTCTAATGCAGCTAATCCACTGTAGGCTGGCAGCTTTATCTCGGAGACTGAGTGACATCATGGGAAATCGTTTCCCTCCTTTGTCGTGCACCAAGACAAAACCCAAAGGTGTATTGAATTCACAGGCAGCTCTTTCAGAGTAGCTCTGTCTGAACTTGCTCTTTTGGAACAAACTCCCATGGAAAATAAAAAGGCAATAATTGATAATTATACTATTCAGCTGATTTTAAGGATGAAAGAAAGAAGAATGCTTGTAAGTATGCACCTGAGGAACTGGGGGCTTCCAGCGCATGTTTTTAAGAGGGGCGGGGGTAAAACCAGTCGTGCCCGTGGGTCTCTTCTTTAGCAGCAGAACCACACCTTTGGGGTCCTCTCTTAGCTTGAAAACTAGGTTCTTCAGCTGCCAACCGACCTGGGACAACAAGAAAAACCATCAACAAAAACACCTTAGATTTGTGCTAACTTTAAAATGAAGTCAGAATCTCACCACAGTCTGCTCGTTGACTTGGATCACCTCATCACCAGCGTGGATCTTCCTGGATAGATCTGCAGGGGACTGGAAGACAACAACAACAAATCCACCTTTAGAAGAAATGTCCTTGTTTCTTGTGTCACGATACCAAATAAGAATAACGTGTCATTACTGCCTATGATTCAGATTCTGATTCATGTTTAGGCACCGGAGGCGTGAAGCTCCGACTGTGACGTTCGTGCGTTAGTCACCGACATCTTGTCTCATTGTGGGTAAAAGGTGGGACTTCTTTTCTGTTTGCGATATTTGCTGTTTAGTTCGGCCAAGTAACAAACAATTCCCTTTAACGGATGAGTCGTTCTTTACTCCTACGGATCTCAGGGTGCCCACCTCTTTCTGGAGGCAGGCTGTTTGCATTCCTGTAAAGTGTTGTTCCGTCACACTTACATGTTCCGTGGTTCCAGTGATGACATGCAAACCGTCGTAGGTCGACTTGATGTACATTCCCTGGATTTAAACAACACAAACAATATTCCCAGAAGGAGTTCAATGTCAGAGAAAGCGGGAGCCCTCAGTTTGACACACATTTCATGCATTCCTGCAGAGGCAGACAGCGAGTTTTGAGTTTATCAAGCGAGAAGGACGAATTCCTCACCAGACCCTCGCCGGGCTTGATGTCGGTCAGCTGGACCTCCTCCAAGCATGCAGACTGGCTCATGAGGGGGTCAGATGTCGTTCTCACGGTCTGATCACAGATATGGTTCAAAACCTTTGACTGCGGAGGAAACGGGAACACAAAATAATCAACAATTACATTTTAAGGAAAAGCAGACTCATCGTAAAAACTGATCTGTGATCACGAGGGGCTTACTAAATCCTATAATGACGCGTGCAGTCGCAGAGTGTTTTACAGGTTTGAACTCGTGAAGCAGAGCTTATCTTTCATTATTGCACCTGTGCACATGCCTCTCTGTGTGTTCATTTTAAGACTTAATGGTAAAATGTGGAACAAGAATATGCTTGCACACAATCCCTTTATTTGTCTTTTACTTATTTTAAGGACAAAACTGTCATTTGTCACAATTAAAGAGGAGCTGTGGAGCACGCATTAAGTTTTAGTCCAAATGAAACGAGTTGATATAGAGTTGTGCATGAGAAAGGGAAACAAAAAAGGGAGGACTCCTGTGTTTGGGTCGTCTACAGCAAGTAGAAGACAGCTGATTGAGGCCTAAAGAGTCTGGAGTGTGTCAGCGACAGGAAACACTGATTGATAGTTTGGGCGGATTAAGACCCGCCCCCTCTGCTGGCGATCCAAAAGAGTCCGTTCACTCAGAAACCGACCTTGTTTAATGAAAGAACGTCACACCGTACCTATGCTAAAAAACACCGAGGCTGTTTCCATCCATAAACATACCTAAAGGATCTCATTTAGAGTTGTATGAAATTAAGGGACGAAACACAGCATACTTACAACTTCAAGGATCTTTTCTTCCATCTCGTAAACACTGCAGTCCTGTGGAAAGGAGGAGATGATGGCGACAGATCAGAATTATGAGCCATAAACGACAGAGAAGAGAAAGAAGGCATTCAAGAAAATATATACGGGGCTAGGTAAACACTGTGTAATCACAATCCCACATTTAGAACTGAGAAAAATGGAGAGCGGCCACAAATAAACAGCTTTTAGTGTAAAATTACATCTTCGACTACATTTTGTGGATGCCATAATTACATAAATGGCCTCCGTGGTTCATTTTCCTGAGCTGGAATTTAAACACAAGTCAAATACATTTATAGAAACGTGTAGATAAAATGGTAAAATGAGCAAGGGTTTCCCCAAATAGTGTTTAGGTTTCCTGCAAATATTTAGATGCAACGCTGCTTTAAAACAGCAAGGAATGGGTGGGCTTGTGGAGCCGGGGGTCTTTTGGAAGTCAGACGCAACAATAGTTGTGAACCTCGTTGCTTAGCTGTTGATGAAATCTGCAAATTCAGCTGGGAAAATCTCTACAGTCACCTCAGAGTCCTGATTTAGCTCCAGTGCTGCTGGACTTGACACAGCTGAGCCAACTGGCTCTTGTGACAACTGCTGATGGTGAACAAGGTGGAGAGGAGGGGGTTACAGAACTGACTTCATGTATTCAGAGGGCATTCTCCCTTCAAAACGCAAGAAACATGCTTGCCAAAACCAGACGGGAAAACACAACTCAACTTAAGCTCGTCTCTTTATCCCGAGAGCCTCCACAAGCTGCTGTCATCACAAAGTTACAGAAAGCTGTCGTTATGACGTGTAAGGGCTTGCGCCAAGTACAAAGGCAGCTCTGTGGCTCTTTGTAAATCCATTGTGCAGACAGCAAACGGGGGTCGAGAAAGTTTCTCTGCGATTCCAAAGCTTGCACATTCCACGGGGCTACAGGGAGCATCTGTTTTCAAATGCACTTGGCTTGTTGTCACATCGCCCGCTTTGTTTGCTCCAACAAGATTTGCACGACTGTCTGCGACTGAAAACGCCGATTGGCTTCCTGACTTTTTTTTCTTGTCTGTGTGACATTTTCTGTAACAGACCACAACAAATAATGTCAACTTGTGAAAAATCTGCAGAACATGACGGATTTCTGGTTAAGCAGTAAACATGATTCTGGAGTGTTTTTCTAACTTAATGGTAAAAAAGAAATGCCAGTATAAGGCTAATGGTAACCCAACCATAGGATTCGATGGACACAATTTGGAGCTAAAATCATTTTTCCATACCAAGTATTCTTTCTTGTTAGCCTGGAATACCCCAAGGTTTCAGATAGGGATGCACCGATACGATACTGGTATCGGTGCAGATACCGATACCAATACCAGTATCGTATTGGTAAAAGTTAACCGATACCAGGAACCGATACCAATGCAGTTGCTTGAAAATGGCTTCCCTGTAACTTGTCGTTTCTGTTCACCTACTATTTTTAGTTTTGTGATGATTTCCATTCCTATATTTTACTTTTTATCTACCTCACAGTCTTTTCCTGTTGAAAGCAGAAAATAAAAGAAAATCTGTATTCCAAATCATTGCATTTTTTTGTGTGGTAGAAGTATAGGTATTGGTAATCGGTATCGGCGAGTACTCGGATCCAAGTATCGGTATCATATCGGTTTGGAAAAAAGTGGTATCGTTGCATCCCTAGTTTCAGAAAGAATTTAGTTATGCTTACATAAACAAGCAAGTGCATATTTTCCTTCAGAGAGTGGCCCTTGCTTGGACGACTACACTGAGATCGAGCCAAAAGGCATCAACTAAAAGTACATATTTTGAAATTTAGAGATTGTGAAACAAAACAGTATAATTAGGAGCTGCAGACGTGAGTTGGCACCTCTCTGATCAAAAGTTAGCCTTTCTTTCTATGATCAAAGAGCATAAAATTAAATAGAAAGTGTTTAATTTGACCAAATTATAACTGACCCAATTCCATAACCATTAACGACCAGATGACTCTCCAAGTGCAGCTTTTGGACCTTTGATCCGACACCAGAGTTGATGTGCACGGGCCAACCAAAGGGGAGAAAATGGACTGACTTCACGTGAGGAGCAACGATATACTGTAAATGTAGCTACAGTTATGTCCGATCTGACGTTTTCTAATCAATTAGATATCAATAAAACATTGCAGACGGATTTATTACCATTTTGTTTCCAAAAAATAAATAAATTAATTAAAAAAAAGAAGAAAGAAGCAGATTGACTTAAAAATTAAAGCCACAAATGAAACATTTTTGAAAGTGGATGACCTCTGCTCTGTTGGGTCGCCAACACGGGCCGATGTGTCCACGGTTTTAGGCTGTGCTCCATTGTCTGCACATGCAAACTGCATTCCAGCGCAACACATAAATTGCATGATCCGAAAAGCTTCTAACCCTGGACTGAAGTTCACGAACAGTCTCGGCTAACCACATGCTGCACTCCCCCAATAAAACCAATCAGGGGCAGGCTCCTGAGCAACAGACATTATTAACTTGCTTCTTTTCTCGGCCCACACAAACTACTCAAGTGAAACGAAGCAGGAAGTCACCAAAGACCCTACGATGGTTTAGATACATAAACGGGATTAGTGAGATGCTATGAGCTGATGCAAGAGTAATAAACGAAACGGTTAGAAAGCAAACCCATCACTCAAGTCTTCATCAGCTATCAGACCTTTATCCTGCACCACAACCTCAGAATGAAACATGACGATGTGGGAACTGCATGCCCCCACTTCTTCTGGATGACCATGACTGAGCCATTCACAGTACATCACAAGGGGTGCTGAAACCCCAGACTTAAGCAAGGAAACGGGCACTCTGGGAAAGGATTTTATTTTGATGCAATGACCCTCTAAAAAAATGACACCTGGCGTCTGAGCAGTCGTGTTTGCCAGCACTTTAAAATCCTCAGAAGATGGAAAGCTGTGCAATCTAACGAGATGATAGTGAAGAAATACGTGCAGCATGTTTATCTGTGAGATTGCAAACTGCTTCTAAATGCATGAAACCAGCAGAAGATTCACTGCACTGAGATTGTGTCTCTCAGGCGGTTCGTTCTGCTGCAGGCATCTTGCAGAAGCCAAAACAGGAACCACATGGCTGATGGAGGACGGCAGCCTAAGGAATGCTGGCAGCCACCCTTAAAAGAGCGCTAGAGGAATTTTATTAAGCTGGAAACTACAAAAAGAACCGTTCACCAATAAACCATCCCACACCAAGGGGGGCCACCTCATTAGCCAGTGTGTGGGGGAAAATCTCCCCCAAAAAAAACAACAACCATCAGCTTCTGCAACAAGACGGCTGGCTTCAGGCTGAAGCCGCGGCTGCCAGACCATATTTCCCTTCTAACTAGCTCTTCTCACACATTTTACACAGCAAGTCTGTGCCCGTGGGTCGGTATGTGCCGAGTGGAAAAAAAAAACTTTTATGTGAAAGTCTCCATGGGATTAGCTTTACTGTTAGCAAGCAGACCTGCTGAACGGTGGTGGTGAGCTCCAGGCACAGCTGGATGATCTTGTTCTTGGTGGCCGTGAAGTCGCTCATCCCGGTAAGAGGCGTCCTAGAAAGAAACGAGAAAAAGATTCTTATCTGGTGATTACCAACTGGTGTTGCTGCGGTCGCGTTCAGCAGATTAAAACCACACTCAGCTGGTGGTTCTTCTGGTATCTGATCTGATGGGAGCGTGAGTTTCTCATCACCTGTCGAGCCAAGCCAGGAGGCTCTTGGCAGCACCAATCAGCTCCACCACAGAGGTCAGGAAGTCATTTGGTGGCTTGTGAGAGACGCTCCCGTCGTACGCCGGGCTTTTCCTGCGGTCGGTCGTGGCTGTGTGGAGACTACCGGTTGCAGCTCTCATCCTCACCACCAGATTCTTCAAATTATCTGTTTCTACTCCATAATTCTGAGGGGAAAACAAAGAGCACATAAAATTACTAAAATAAAATGAGAACGTCGAAGCAAAATAGAAAATACCTTCATGCCAATCTAGACTAATAACATGGGAGAGGTTTAAAAGCCTTGGAGTTGTTCTGGGAAAACATGTTTTTTCCTGTTCTGTAAGTGGCTGTAATCGTTTATTTGACAGATAAGACTTGACTGAAGGATTTCACCCACGACTCACCACAGAGGTGTGCACGAGCCATCCCCTGATTTCTATCAGGTCTGCATTCTCGTTCTTAGCATGCCTTATGGACAATTCCCAATATCTCAGCATTTCAAAAGTTAAACACGAATCAGCGAGAAACTGCGCCAGAGAACTCCCTTTTCTTTTTTCACTGAGGGTGAAGTGTGCATCTGACACTACAGTTTGAGCAAGTGATATTAAAATAATGCAATGGGTAAACAGAAGTAGACGGGTCTGGCTTATGTCCCGGTAACTATCAGCTCACTCCATGGCTTCCAGCAGCGCTGCTCTAAAAGTGGCTTGCCAATGGCCAAACACGCTTAGCAAGAAGTAAAACGGCATGTGTTTGGCAAGCATCAGAAGTCTGCAAGCAGTTAATGTCTCCTTTTATTTTGTTTTCTTTCAAACATATGCTACAAAAAAAAAAAAACACAACTCAATCCACTCGTTTCATTCCCAAAGGAAACACAGAGAGCAGACTGGACAAACAGCAGCTGTAGGCGGTTCTATTCACGCCACGCTTCACATGAAACGGCTTGTTGCAAACCTAAAAGATAAGACAACACAATTAAAGGATTTGGGGGGGGGGGGGGGGGGGGATTGGGAGACGTCATCTGATCTTTTGGCTTTTCATTCAGCCATTCATGTTTGAAGTGCACAAAAACAATGCGAGTGTTTTCCAAATCAAACTTATTAGGTGGATGACTCACTCAGTGTTTCTGACAGCCCTGTTGGTGTTTAGGAAGCTTTTGTCCAACCCTAACCCAACACTTCCACCTGAGCAACAACGGTTTAGAATCACTTAACCTTTCAGTGTTGGGTCTTTATAGAAGCCAAACTGGAAAAAGGAGCGTAGATGCATAGATGCTCAAGTTGGGGCCTGCTGAAGGGACAATACTTTGGAGAAATAAAGAATGGCTATCACAGCAAGCTGCTTCCTGCCTTCATCACAGGCATTAGGAGTCTGACTTGAATAGAAAAGACACAATGTCTGACTGTGCAAGAAGAATGTGTTTCTGAATAAATCAGCCATAAAATAAAGGTTTCTCACAAATCTTTGAAAAGAAAACTCTGTACATAAAAAATAAAAGTCCACCATACTAATCCCTGAAAAGCATTAACACTCATTTCATGAATAAATACATGTTTCCTGTAATAATTGTAAGCGTGATTGATGCATGCCATTTCCCATATTATTTAGCTTCCATTAGTTGTGGCGGCCATCTTGAATCAGGTCAGCCCCTCATTAGTCAGCTGTAGACGTACAGCGAATCAGGAAAGTTTTCACAGTGCATCACTTCCCCCCCACATTGCTATGTTAAAGGCTAAATTCAGAATGGACTGGATTAAATGTTGAATACAATACAATTCTACACGAAACACCCCATAGTGACAATGTCAAAAAAGTTTTTTTTTTTTTTTTTTTTTTGCAAATTTAATAGAAATAAAGATGATAGGTGACCCACCAACCCAGTCTGAGGCAAAGAGCTCTCTGGAGAAGGTTTCTGTGTACATTGCTGCATTTAGCTGACCTTCTCCAACTAGTCTCCACATTTCTGCTGCTAAAAACATCCCCACAGCATGATGCTGCCACCACCATGTACAGATATTATTAGCCTGGTGATGAGTGGAGCCTGTTTTCTCCAAATGTAACGTCTGAAATTCACACCAAAGAGTTCAGTCATTGACTACGTTTACATGCAGCCAATATCCGGGTTATGATCGGGTTAAGGTCGGTATTCGGGTTTCTGAGTTGATCAGAATAACCCGTTTACAAGCATAAATAGAAAGAGTTACCTCTAACTTGTATAACCCGATTTAAATACGGACGTTGGTGTAGCGTCAGGACGTGTGGACTACGTCCAGACGCAAAATGCGTCATTTCCGGTTATTCTTGTTCCGGTATCCGTGAAAACAACAACATGTTTCCCAGTTCGGAAGAGATAGCGACCGTGTTTGTTTGCGCTTTAGTTTCTTCGTCACTCCAAATGTGTGGTGCTGTGCTGCGACTCGCCATGTTGCTCCCAACTTGTTGTTTACTTCCGGAGTTCTGGCGCATACAAGACGTCTCGCTACTCAAAAGACCAAGATTCCTTGCGAACAGAGCATGCGCAGAACACACGCTTTGATGGGGGTATCCCGGTATGCGTTTACACGACCAAACATTCGGGTTAGAAAAGGGTTACCCCAGGTGTAGTAACCGGGTTTTTAAAAACCCGGTTATGAGCATATCAGGGTTTTTGGCGGTGTTTACATGGACCTGCGGAACCGGATTATTGTGAATATTCGGGTTTTAAAAGGGTTACTGGCTACATGTAAACGCACTGAGTGTCTCAACAGACAAGTGAATTTTATTTCTCATGATCCGAGAGTCCTTCAGGTAACTTTTGGCATTTTCAGGTTGGCTGCCATTTTACTAAGGAAGCATTGCACATCCAAAGAGTATTTTCTGAGATTTTCATTAAAACCAGTTATGTGGTTCGTGAAATCTCCTGTTGACATTGCAGATAAAACGGGTATGGGAGATGGAAAAAACAGGAATCTGTGGAAGTAGTATACACATTATATGAAGTGGATGTCATGAGTCGGTGAGTGAACAGAGACCAAATGAAAGCATGTTGGATTTCAGCACCAAGTCTGCAGAAGACATCAAGGCACATCCACTCAAACGAGTTGGAGCATCTCTTGTTGTCCCTCGGCAGCTTTCGGCTGTAAGAGAAGCTTGAGTATAAATGTTTGCTGAAGGGTTTATAGAGGTTCATGTGACGAGATCTTTCACTGCATTTCAAATTTTAAAATGCAAGCATAACATGATCCTTATTATTTTACACGCGTGTGCATAAACTAAAATGCAAAGAATCACATGTGCAGCCGAGATGAACAGGAAGTGTCCGACTGAGCAGTAAATAAAACAGCATAAAAATAGGGGAAGAAGAAGGAAAAACTGGGATAAAGCACATAGCGGTGTTGGTGGTTCGAGTGGCTGTCAGTAGCAGTGACCTCAGTTAAAGCTAATTAAATCCCTGGGCTTCATTTCCTCCCACGGGACATGTAGTCGTCAGAGGCCTCCTTCCAAATAAGCAAACTTCCTTAGTCGAGGTGAAAGGTTGCCGAGAGTTCACAAATCCTGGCTTCTCGAGTGTCAAATAAAAATAAGATGGAAGTTACATTTTCCCAATAAACTGCATGCAAGTTTACTATGACCATAAATTTTATGCAAAACGATAACAACTTGGGATTTGGCTAAAATGATGCAAAACATTGTCTGGACGTGCAAAAATCAGTGAAGGCCCAAATTCCACGATGAGGTAAAAACATTATTTGCCTCAACTGTTGAACAGACACAGAATATTGAGTAAACTAATAAAACATCAGAGTTTTCTACTCAGATTAACTCATTCACTGCCAATGACGACTAGTCGTCATTTGCATTTTTTTTTACTGTGTGAGCATCGGAACGAGCCCCCGCGCTGAGAGTACAAACATCTCAGCCCTGAAGCCGATCTTCATCCGCATACGTCACAGATCACATGATCAGGAAGCAACACATCCATGTGTTAGGAGATCGTTTTGGGCCGTTCCTGTAAAAAAAGGTGAGGCACGAACCGGAAAAGCGTCTGCCAATCACAATTCGACAACGGATTATGAAAGAACGGATAACGCTCGAAACACGCGGCTTCTTCCTGATGTAAGAGGTGAGTCTCCTCTTTGTTTTGATTGTTTTGGCATCGACATCATGCTAGCGCGCAACGTTCTGTGACTCTTAAAAAACAGTAAAAACGGTGAGAAACGCTGGCAGCGAAGGCCGTTAGTGATCAGGAAACGGCTGGCAGTGAGTGAGTTAAAGACCAAACAATCCGATTTTCTGCAACAAAAGTAGACAAACCGATCTTTTAGGTGCCTTGATTTTAGTTCAGCACTGGGAAGACAAGAGTTTGTGCAGGAGGAGGACAGGCGGAAAAATAAAGCTTCTTTGGGGCTAAAAACCACCATAAGAGAGTATTGCAAAGCGTTTTAAGACAACAAAAAGACAAAAATGCTGACACTGATCAAAACGCAACGACTGCAATCTGGGACTTTTACGACACAGGAAGTGATAAAACTCCAAATCGATCCCATCTGCTGAAAAACCTGGCTCTCTTTGGAACATGACGGAGTTTCATCCGTCTGTCATCAGACATTTTTGTTTTTCTGGGTGCTGTGATGATGGACAGCTGGTGAGCTGACTCCAGAGGTGACTATCTGGAGACAAACGTGACACATGGAAATGAACGAAGAGGATTTTACTGCCACCAGTGAGCTAACGCTGAGTCAACCCGCCAAAAACAGGACAATGTGCCCATGACCTGATCTCTCCTCTTTACTCAGTGGTACTCACCAAAGCACAGAGCAGATCGACGGCCTCCAGAACCAGCTCCTGGTGTCCAATCCTCGCTACACCCAGTTCCTCCAAGTCTTGATGTGAGATCTTCAGTAGCTGCTCCCCGCTGATCTTCTCCCGCTCAAAGTTACTAACATACTGCTGCAAGCTGTCGTCCAAGCCTAAACAGGAATGAGCGAAAAAGGGAAAAAACATGAATCATGAGTTAGATTAACATGTGTCCTAATTGTGCACGTGGGCAGGCCGCACATAAGAGACAGGTGGGACAGCAATATTAGCTAGATAAACACACCATAAACAGAGTAACGGTTAAGTCGGTTAAGCTGGTTAAACAATGGATGCTATATGTACGTGGCTGAGGTGTGTGGCCGGGTGCTTGGAGTAAACACGTCCACCATCAGGGACAGCCCATTTCTGCTGTTCTACAGTTCCAGGAGAGCCGATTTGACCGTTACACCCCCAACTGCCGCTCGCATCAGATTTGTCAGGAACTTTGGGAGCGTGAAGTAGAAGTTGTCTACTGTTCATTGTTCCTATTTTCCATGTCTTCTATTTTTGAAAGCTGTGAACGATCAAGGGTGGAACTTGTGTGAAAATATAATGAAATGCTGCAGATGCGTTTAATATTGTGCTTTTACCACGAGCAAACCCATGAAAATGTCCTCCTTCTACATGCAACAGAGGGGGAAAAATGAGTCTTTGTGGAAGTCGCTCCCCATCAAAGAGTGCACAGAGAGGTGGCAGCTGCAGCCACACGGCCCCGTGCCCTGCATCTTTAAAAGACCTGTCAGCTGCAAGGCTCATTCAAACCTTACCACACTCAAACTCGTGCATAAATAGCAGCAATCAGGGTGACGAGTTAAAGTTATGTGCAAAAAAAAGAATCCAATTTGGCCATATTTCTAATAGAAAACGTTACTGGTTTCTTTAAACTGTGTTTTGCTGCAGCACATAAGGTCTTCATGCCTCAGTTACACTGTGTGTGTGTGTGTGTGCACCTGTTGCTGACAGTTTGCATACAGGGAAAACAAACGGAGTTGCGTGTGTGAGTGTGCGATGGGTGCTTACCAAAAAAAGATCAGACTGCCTGCATGGTAGACTCACAGCTCTTTTAGAATGTAGGCGTAGAATTAATGTTTTGGCTAAATCACTGCGTGAACAGCACATCTCCCGCATTTTACAGTGTTTTGTTTCAAACGACTGATATAAAACGATTAAAGGATAAAACTATTTCTTATCAGGCTTCAATTGACAATAAAATCAGAGCATTAGCGTCTGATAACCAGTGATAAAATTCAAAACAAACATAATGTTCTGACTAAGGCTGTCTGAGTTCAGAGTTGCACAAAGAAATTAGCTTGTAATCAGAATTTGCCAATATTTAGCTTCAACAGTGCTGGACTTATCTTCATATCAAACATATGAGGTCAGTGAATGCACCATTGTCATTCAGCGAAAAACCCAAAACAAAACAAAGTTCAGGTCCAACATTCATTTAAATCCCTGTGAAATCCTGGTGCATGTGAGAGCTGAAGCCACTAGGAAAATCCTTCATAATCATTAACCTGCGAGTCAAACCCCGTTTGCCTCATTACATTCTAGTCATTCCTTGGCATTTTAATTATTCGGCCAGACTTCAGAGAATAGCTTTTCACTCAGACTGGTTGGCCTTCTCTGAAAGAATCGACTTCAAACTGAAAGAAAGGGGCCGAGTGCCGGCTGGAGCCGAATACAAACACTGGGCCAGTCGCTTAATGCGATTAGAGGAAAACAAAGACTTTTGAGATCTGAGGGAGACAAAGTTTCTCCTTCCTGCTGTGTTAAAAAGGCATTTCCTGTGGAAGGGAGCCACCGGTTCTCAGCAGCAACAGGAGAAAGTTGTGGTCTGAGCTCCAGAAAGGCTTGCCGTCTTTAATTTGAGGTTTGATTTTAGCTCAATTGTTTTAAAACCACATAATATGATTTAAATGGGATAAATTTGTGAAAATAGCCTAAAATGAATTCCAGCTAATGAACGGATCACAGAGAATTTCCTTTAGGAAAGGACCAACAGTCCTCATCCTCCGAATAAAACAAAACAAGGGGTACAGCCTGTCAGTAGAGCTTCTGGAACATTTATCACGTCTCCATCATGTCTGCATGGGTGTGTGAGGCTATCAACTTACATTAAGGTCATTGAAACCAGTAATCAGATCAACTGTGAAGTGAGTGAAGGGGGGAGAAGAAGAAAAGGAGGTGTGAGTTCTTCTGAGAAGCTTGAACATTCAGGATGAAACACTTTACAGGAGTTTTATAGCTTCTATAAACTACTTGGCACATGTCCTCCAACCTGACCAGACTATGGGGAACAGAAGCAAACACTGACACGTTTAGTTTTCCCCACAAACTTTTTTATTTGATTAGAATAAATGATTTGGAGTACGTGGGTCTAGGCCTCGCTCTAAATTCCATTCACGTTCAATTTAACCATTATGTGCAAAATATTTGGGTTTAATTCAAATCGTTTGCAAATGCTGACAGAGACAACGGTCACAAAGATATTCACCATATTTCTAAGTAATGGAGGTTTTTCTCACTGGTTTGTGTTTGAGAATGCCACCTGCTGTTCACCGTGGTGTCTCTTACCACCCACCGTCTCAGTCTGAGTGAACAGTAACTGTGCAGAACAGGTTATCTGCAGACTAGTAGTGCATGTGTGGGTCTCAGACAGACATGTTTCTGGTCAGCTGGAAAAGCAAAAACTGGACAGCTGGACCAGAGGTCTGTGAGACCAGTAAAAGCCTTTTGACAGTAATTATGGCAATCTCAACCATTCTAGATACGTTGCATAATAAAAACACCAGAGGGGGTCTGAAAACGATCGCGCTGACAAATATTTAAAGAACAGTCAAGTCATTTGAGAATGACATTTTACACAAGTCCTTTTTCCATCCCCAGGGAAATAAACTTTTAATTGTGATCAATAATGCATTCAATGAAGCTTCGAGTCGCCAACATTTCGCTCTCAGGGGTTTGATTAAAGCCGGGCGGACACGGTGCGACTTTTTCACTCGTAGCACTCAGCTTCAGCTCAAACTGTACGACTTCCTCGCAGGGCAGATCTCACGAGTCATGTGCTCACACTGCACGACCCAGTTCTCGCATGCGACCTGACTGCTCACTAGTGCTGTACGATACTGCAAAATTTGGTATCGATCCGATACCGAGTAAATACAGGGGCTAGTATTGCCGATACCGATACCAATACCGATACTTTTTACTACTAGTCTAGTACCAACTAGTTTTGTGGGATTTATTAAGGTAAATAGGATCAATAAAACTTGAGTTTTCTTGATTATTTAATAATTTTGAAAATTTTCCTTTAATAAATCATGTGTATGATGATAATACAATACAGGGAACATTTTCAGGCAAATAAAGTTTTCATTAGGAAAGTCAAAATGGTTTAAAAATGGTTAACAAACTCAAGATTTTTTTTCTATTTGAAATGTATAAAGCTGTGTAAAAAAATTACAAACAGCGCTCCTTTTTCGGTCTGCCATCACGCAGCCACAACAGTGCTCTCTGCTGTTCTGTGCTTGTCTCGTGCTGGCGCGCTGTTTTACTTTTTTTTTTTTTTTTTTATGTAACGGCAGACTGCCCCGTTGACTGACATCCGTGGCGTTCCAGTCAAAGTGCTTTAATAGTTTTTTGGGCCAATCACAACGCTCTTTTAGCGAGGTAGGCGGGATGTCCCTGCAAACAAACATGGTTGCCTCTCGAAACGGTCCAATCACAGGTATCAGCCAGGTAAACTACAAATCAAGATGGCTGCCGTTCTGTAGTGGTCCAATCAAGGCGCCATATAGATTTCATGGGCCAATCGCAACACTAAGTAGGCGGGATGTTATTAGAAAAAAACTAAACAAACGTGACTAGTCGGCGGTCAGCCGCTCGTTTGAAACGGCTTTGGCATCAAGTTTGGACTATTATGACTTTAGCTTTTGTTTGAGTCAAGATCAGATAGAAGTACTAACATTTATTTAGGAAAATGATGTGTTTTGCATCTTCTTTGATGGAGTTTGGTGGACTGCCTCGTTGACAGACATCTGTAGCGGTGAGTACGTCATGGCTTGCCAGGCTAGAAGAAACTGAATCGATACCATGACGTGGGTATCTAATAAATACTCAATACCAACGTTAGATCGATACTATCGATATTTTAGATCGATCCGCCCAGCCCTACTGCTCACGCTGTATGTCTGGTAGCAACACGTCGGACCTAAAAATATGCTACAAATAGCAGTCAGACTGGTTGGCCTTCTCGCAGCGTCATTTTTGTCTTGCCTGTTGTCCTTCGGGAGTGCTGCAGGAGGACACACAGGGATTTATGGGGGTTGGATGAGGAAAACGAAATAAAGAAAGTAAATCTGTGTTTTGTGATCAGTTTAATTTGACATGAACACGACAAACACGCTTTCCTGACAATCTTTGTGAGTAAAAACGTGTAGAAATAAAAACGAACAACGTGTGTTATTAGGGAAATAGCGGGCGAGCGGTGTTGATACATGATTGTGCATGCGCCGTGAGCGGTTCTGGTACTTTTTGGGTCGCAGCTGCTTGCAGCGCCACTTCAACAGTGCGATACCCTCACGAGGGACGAGCAAAATATCAAACACGCCAGAAGTTCGTGCGAGCTCCCGATTGCTAATCGGTAGCTGGTCACGTGGTGTTAATCGCTTCTCGTAACCCCCTGTACACTACACGACGCTCAGCGCAAAACTCGCCCCAATCTTGTGGATTCTCGCACGAGTGGAAAATCGGCTCAAAAAAGTGAAAAATACGCACAGTGCCCGCCCGGCGAGGGAGTCTGAAAACGATCGCTCTGACAAATATTTAAAGAAGAACAGTCAAGTCATTTGAGAATGACATTTTACACATGTCCTTTTTCCATCCCCAGGGAAATAAACTTTTAATTGTGATCAATAATGCATTCAATGAAGCTTCGAGTCGCCAACATTTCGCTCTCAGAGGTTTGATTACACAAGTGAAAGAGTGAACCATCCCACAGGGAGAGCCGACCCAGCTCCCTCCCCCATCTGTGAACCCCTCCCTGTGTTCCCAGTGGGATCTGTAGCCACCATGTGCACGCACGCACACGCACACACACACACACACACAC